AATCAACACCCATTGTGTCCGTGATCACTTGGATCTGCACACGAAGTGCAGGGTGTAGTATGAGTACAACCAACTCAGTAAGTAACAATAATAAATAAGGAACTAAAGTAGTGACGAGCTTCTCAGCTACGTCCAAATACAGTACTTTCCAACAGAAAAGGGTAGGCATGCTCTCAAGTTCAACATTAATTTAAACATTATTTTAACAAAATAAACTAGCAAAAAGAAAAAAAAAGAAAAAAAAAAGGAAAAAAGGAAAATATGCCCATGAATAAACTTCAACATACGACATTTAGACTTAGAAAAATCTCATAAAAATCTCTTTAAAAGTTCAAGATACAACTATAAAAAGGGATAAGAAAATAGCAACATCTATTTAAGTTAAATCAATACTTTAAAATTTACCAAATACTTAGTAGAAGAATATATTTTTTTTCATACACCATTCAAGACTCAAACTAAGCATAAAATCCAACTCTCAATCAAATCCAAACTAGTTAAGTCTCCAAAAATAAAAATCTCCCAAGTTCAATTCAAGTAATAAATTTAATAAATTACAAAACTTGGGCATAAACACCTCCCAAAAAAGGGTCAAATCATTCACCAAGATTAAGTTACCAAAATAATAGTGTCATGACCTAATAATCATTCAAGAGTGCATATCTAAGTGTATCATAAGGATCATGTACGAGTCCCCAAAAGTCTACAAACAAACAATTACATATGCATATGCAAGTGTGATCTTCATCTAATCTTCCAAAGAGTCTACTTCAAATGATATCCTCAAGCATCTCCCGGCACATCACCTACGATAGTAACAAACTATCGCTAAGCATAAAGCTTAGTGGCACATAAACTTAACTAACATATCATAATAAAAGAAAGGTAAACTATAAAATGAATACAAGGAATAAATTCCAGATATGAGCTTATTAAAATCAACATCAAGTACTTAATGAAGGCGCAATCATCTCAAGAGGACTAAATATAAAATTATAACATTGTTCAAGATACCATTATCCAAAATGTCAAATGTCAAGAAGATTTTCGACTATAATCCGAGAAAGTCCACCGATTAGTTGATTCGCCCAACACATGCGTCATGCAATTACATCAAAGCAAAATCAAGTAACAAGAAGGACCGGAGTCCTAGATCAAGTAGGGTCGTCACCCAATTATCAACAGAATCAAGAGCCATATTGAAAGTGGCTTTCCCATCCATACTCAAAATGGACAAAGTCCATGATTAAGATGAAATGTGAATCCAAAGTCAAGATGGGTCAAGATCCAAATAAAAAGGCATGCCAATAAAAGTGACAAAGTCACTATCACGAGAGGGATAAAATCCCAACAAGAATGAGTGGTGCTCAAGCAATCCATATATGTGGGCGAGTTAAATTGTCTTTCAAAAATACTTCACATGACACCCATATAATTTTTAACATATTCATAACTCAATTACGAAATTATACCCTCAATGACCACTAATAAATCAAAATGCCTCAAGATATTCTTTGTCAAGCAACAATGCAAGTAAACTAGTAAAGTAGCAACCAAGTCAATATGACAACAAATTTAAAGTAAGGTAAAAAAAAAATTCACCAAACCTTAACCACTTACAATATCTCAACAAATTAAATTGAAAGAAACACTCAAGTTTATGTGCAAACCTTGGAGCTTTAGTGTTTTTAAAGCTCAAACGACATCAAGGGATTTAAGATCTTCTAAGCCAAGAAAAGAGCGATTTTCCTAAGGTGTGCTCCTTAACTTGAACGAATGTATCTTGTACCTTAAACACATAATCAAAACTCACTTAAGGTCTGAAATTTAAATATATTTAAACCAAATCATGATGAATATCAAAAGGGGGACTAAATGGGTCACAAATATTTTAATAAAAATCTGGCAGCAACTCTGTCCTGTATTTCAGATCCTTTTTGACATAGTAGAGGGAAGAACTGGCCATTTCGGTCTTCATACCAATTGTAGATCTATGTCTTATATTTTTTCAGAATTTTGAAGTACTACAATCCGAGTTTTAGAGAAAAAGTTAAGCTCAAACTACTAACTGCTTCCCAGTTCAAAAACGGGATTAAATCTCTTACTTTCAAAATATCAAATTCTCTAACAACAAACTTAATAATTTCACCCAAATATGTTGAACAAGAATCTTACCACAAGTTTGAGAGAGTTTCTCTACAAATCCAACCTAGGGTTTCAAATAAGCTTAACCCATCTTGATTCTTGAAGATAACATTCTAACATATTCAAAAGATAAAGACTAAAACTTTTATGTAACCAAATATGATCTTGATGGTAGTGGGAGAATGGTACTTGTGTGAATTGAGAGTTCTCCAATAGAAGGGCTAGAAGAAGAAGAAGAAGAAGAAGAAGAAGAAGAAGAAGAAGAAGAAGATGTCTTATGAGAGAGAGAAAGAGATTTTGCTAATATGAAGGGTTTATCTCCCAAATGGGTAGAAGATAAATATTATTTTTATTAAATGGGTCAAAATAGATTTAAGGGATCAAATAGGATATAATAAGTCTTTTTTAATAACCCCCCCCCCCCCTTTTTAATCAAATAAAGTAGAAAAATTAAATTTAAGAAAAGTGATAAAACATTACAACCCTCTCTCCCTTAAATAAAATTTCGACCTGATACTAGTCTTGAAATAAATGTAGATATTGCAGTTGCATGTCCTCCTCTCGCTCCCAGGTAGCTTCCTTGCCAGAATGATTTCTCCATAGGACTTTCACTAAGGGGATTCTCTTGTTCCTAAGCTCTTTAAATTCATGAGCCAAGATTTGAATAGGTTCTTCTTCGTATGTTAAGTCAGGATTAACTTCAATGGACTCAATAGGAAGAACATGAGACGGATCAGAGCGATATCTTCTAAGCATAGAAATATGGAAGACATTATGGATCTTGTCTAATTCATGTGGCAAAGCTAGCTTATATGCAACTGGACCAATTCTCTCAAGTATTTCATAAGGTCCAATGAATCAAGGACTAAGTTTCCCTTTCTGGCCAAATCTCATAATCTTCTTCCATGGAGAAACCTTCAAAAATACCTTATCACCCACCTGATGCTCAATTTCACGCCTTTTAAGATCAGCATAGGACTTTTGTCTGTCTGAAGCAATTTTCAAACGATCTTTGATGATTTTCACCTTATCTTCAGTATGTTGTACAATCTCAAGACCAATAATTTTTCTTTCACCTACTTCACTCCAGCAGAGAGGAGTTCTACATTTCTTCCCATATAAAGATTCATAAGGAAGCATGCCTATACTTGTCTGGTAGCTATTATTATAAGCAAATTCTATCAAAACCAAGTGTTTGTCCCAACCACCCTCAAATTCAATAATACAAGCTCGAAGCATATCTTTCAAGTTTTATAAAATAAGGTACCATCTTCCTTCAATGTAAAATTTGATTATCTTCCATTTTGGACTTCTTCAACACGTTTCACAAGCTTCTCATCTAACTTCTGTGCTTCTCATATCTGCTCAAGTAAGACTGGCTTGACTTGCAAATTAGCAATGATATAACCATTAGAATCAAATGAAAGACAAGCATTCATGGCTCTTAATTCAAGGAGCAAAGGCAAAGGACTTAGAGTTAAACTTGCAAGGGAATTGCGACTCAACGCATCTGCAACTACATTGGCTTTACCAGGATGATAATCAATCGTGCAATCATAATTTTTGATGAGTTAAGTCATCTATGTTGTCTCAAGTTTAACTCTTTTTGTATACCCAAGTACTACAAACTCTTGTGATCAGTAAATATATGACACTTCTCCCCGTACAAGTAATGCCTCTAAATTTTTAAGGCAAAAACAATAGCAGCAAATTCAAGATCGTGAGTGGGATAATTCAACTCATGCGATTTCAACTTTCGAGAGGCATAAACAATTACTTTCCCTTATTGCAGCAAAACACAACCCAAGCCACGGTGAGATGCATCACCGTATATCACATAATCTTTCCTTTCAACTGGCAAAGAAAGTATTGAAGCTTGTATCAACAAGGATTTGAGCTTTTCAAAGCTCTCTCGACACTTGTCATCCCACACAAACTTGGCGTCTTTTCCCAAAAGTTTGGTCAAATGAGAAGCTATAATAGAGAAGCCCTTCACGAACCTCCTATAGTATCCTGCTAAACCCAAGAAACTTTTGATCTCAGTTGGAATTTTAGGGGGTTTCCAATCAACAATAGCTTGAATCTTATTAGGATCAACCTTCAGACCTTCAGCTGATACAATATGCCCCAAAAAGCCACTTCACTTAGCCAAAATTCACATTTGGAAAGCTTCGCGTTGAGTTGCCTCTCCTTCAGAATTTGCATGACAATTCGGAGATGCTTATCATGATCTTCTCTATTTTTGGAATAGATTAAAATGTCATCAATAAATACCACCATAAATTGATCAAGGTACGTCTTGAATACACGGTTCATTAGATCTATAAATGCAGCAGGAGCATTTGTCAAACCAAATGGAATTACCAAAAATTAATAATGGCCATACCTGGTCCTAAAAGTAGTTTTAGGAACATCTTTCTCTCTCACTCGCAACTGATAATATCCAGACCTCAAGTTAAATTTTGAGAACAAGATAGCACCCTTCAGTTGGTCAAACAAGTCGTCGATTCTAGGCAGCGGTATCTGTTCTTGATTGTAACCTTGTTCAGTTGTCGGTAATCAATGCAAAACCTAAGAGTGCCATCTTTCTTTTTCACAAATAAAACAGGAGCTCCCCAAGGCGAAACACTGGGACGGATAAAACCTTTCTCGAGAAGTTCTTGCAATTGAGCCTTCAACTCTTTTAATTCAGCTGGAGCCATTCTATAAGGAGCGATAGAAATAGGAGTAGTTCCAGGAACAAACTCTATAGGAAATTCAATCTCCCTTTCTATAGGCAACCCAGGAAGATCATCAGGAAATACATCAGGAAAGTCACACATGGTTGGTATGTCCTTAAGGCTTGGACTCCCCAATCATGTATCGACTATATGAGCAAGATAAACATCACAACCTTGACGAATCAACTTCCTTGCCAAGACCGCAGAAATAATATTAGATGCCAATGATCTTTCTCTTTGAAATACTATGTGTGAAGATGCAGAAGTTCTAAAAGTCACTTGCTTCAACCTACAATCAACCGATTCATGGTGCCTATGGAGCCAATCCATACCAACAATAACATCATAGTCTTGTAAGGGCATTTCAAGCAAGTCTGCAGGAAAGACTAGATTTTGAATCATGAATGGACAATCTCGATAAATCCTGTTAACAACAGCCTGATAACCTAATGTACTCGTGACAAGCACATCAAAGTCAAGTCTCATAAATTTAACAGTATCAGGAAATGCAAGTGACGAGCAAACATAAGAGTGTGAAGATCCAGGATCAAATAATGCAACAACATTTATGCCAAATAAGTGAAATTTACCAACAACCACATCCGAGCCATCTTGGTCATTCTTCTATCTCATAGCATAGACTCGTACAGTAGCTCTTTACCCACTAGCCTGATTAGCTTCACTCAAACCTGCTGCTTGCATATTTTTAGGTCTTGCACCTCTATTAGCTTGATAATGAGTAGTGATAGGCTTTTTAATTGAGCTCTCTATATGTGTAGAAGAAAGAGGATTAGGATTAGGACAATCCTTCACTTTATGATCCAGGCTTCCATAATTAAAACAAGCACCAAAAGCTCTTCTACAAGCACCATAGTGATTCTTCCCACACTGTGCACAAGTAGGTATATAAGTTTTGCCTTGGCCATAACTTGGAGTACTAGCAGTAGAGAAATTTGGCTTATTTTGCTTATAATATGATGACTTATGTGCACTTTCAGTCTTGGAATATTCAAACTTTCCGTTCTTGGATGGACCACCATAATCTGAATTACCCTTCCTAAACTTATTTTCTCTCCTAGTAGCTTCTTCCTTGTCAATTCTTTCCCAAGTAAGAGCAACTGAAACTAGCTTGGAAAAACCCTCAAGTTGTAAGATTGCCACAATATTTTGGATAGAACCATTCAAACCTTTTTCAAATCTTCTGCACTTGTCTCTTTCATCATCATTAATACCTCCACCATAGCGAGAAAGCCTGAGAAACTTTTGTTGATACTCTGCAAGAGGCATACTCCTTTGTCTTAAATTTAGAAACACTTTTTTCTTAGCATCACAATAGACAGGGGTGACATATTTTGCACGAAATGTTTTCACAAAGTCATCCCAAGTAAGCACTGAAGGTTTTTCTTTTGCATTGGGCACACTTACCCACCAATCACAGGCATCTTTTTGTAAAAGAGAGATAGCATACTTATATTTAGCAACATTAGTACACTCTAGTTGTTCAAAGACCTTCTTCATGCACTCGAGGCATTGTTCAGCTACCGTGGGATCAATAGTTCCTTCAAATTCAACTCCACCCATTTTTCTCATCTTCTCAAAATTCATTTCATTCGGTTCTGACATTGACTCAGCCAAGTGATGAAAGAACTCAGCTATCTGCTGAAATGGAGGAGTCTAGGAGTACTATGACTCATTGCTCTTGGATTATGTCCCACTTCAGATTCACTAACACGAGCATGGTTTAGGTTAGGCAAAGATTCCTAATCTTCTCCCTGAAGGTGAGGTGGAGCATTATAGTGAGCGTGACTTTCATCAACAGACTCAATAGCTCTATTCGAAGGGAAGGCTATATTAAAATTTCTATAAAAGTTAAGATCACATCTGTCACGACCCAAAATCTATTAAAGGTCGTGATGGCGCCGGACACTGCTGTCAGGCAAATAAATACTCAATTTGGTTCTTGTTTTAATATTTTGACATCATATTTTTCCTTCCATTAAATAGTAGAAGATGAAATTTACAGAGTAAATGATAGTATTTTTACCAATTGAAATACAGAACAACTCATAATCACCCCAAAACCCGGTGTCACAAGTGCATAAGCATCAACTAGGAATGTAAAATAAAATACAGCATCTATCTGGGATATAAATTTGGACAGAAGAAATGTAAATACTATGAATGAGACTCTGCCGGCTGCGGGTCATAATGTGGAATGCAGCTCACGTAAGTCTCTGCATGCATACACGCCTCTGTTCTCACAAGGCCACTAGTCACATATGTACATGCACAAAAATGTGCAACAAGTGTAGCATGAGTACGTAATTAACGTGTACCCAATAAGTATCTAGCCTAACCCCGGAGGAGTAGTGATGAGGGGTTGACATAGACACTCACTTNTATATATAGTGGATCTCATCAAATAGATCGTCATAACTCAAATCGGGAAAACTCACATATACACTAGCTTTTTGCCAAATATTACGCACGAATCCATGAAGATATAATATAGGAAATGTCGAGGCGTACGACCCGATCCAACATAAATATTTAAACTGTACATTGCCGAGGGTCGAACGGCCCGAACCATAGATACATCTATTAACCTGCCGAGACGAACGGCCCGCTCCCATGAGAGTGTGGTACATAAATCCTGCCGAGGCGAACGGCCCGATCCCATAAGAGTGAAATACAAATTCCTGCCGAGGCGAATGGACCGATCCCATAAGAGTAAGAAGCTTTGACGGGTCCTTGACCCCACTCACAAATAAACGCGTGAGTTGAAATTTCTTTGACAAAAACCTTTCAATGAAACATATATACCATAGAAACATGCCGTAAGAGGAGTAACATTATTCGGTGACTAATCATGAACTCGTGTAGTCTCTACAATAGCAAGTCTAGTAACAAGTAGTAATGTAAAATAGAGGAATTTAATAGGCGAGAGACTACTCAAATAGTACATCTACAGCATGATGTGAACCTAAATCTACCCGTACAATAACATGAATGTAGTTTCGTACGGGCTCTCATCACCTCGCGCGTACATAGTCCCCCACAACAAGTAGCACACATCAATATACAACACCTAGGGGTAATATCCCCCTCACAAAGTTAGACAGGAGACTTACCTCGCTCCGAAATTCCATAACCGGCTCCAAAGCCTCTCTAACACCTCAAATCGATGCTCGTCGCTCCAAACTAGTCAATTAAGATTCAACCCAATCAAAATGTACTCTAATACTCATAATTAATCAATTTATAATAATTTCCAACTCCGCTCAAAAAATCGATAAAGCAAGCCGCGGGCCCACGTGCCCGGATTCCGAAATATTTTTGAAAACAAACACTACCATAGCACTACGAACTCAAATAAATAATTTATTCTCATTTTCATGCCCAAATTCGTGAACAAAATCCAAGAATACCCATTTCTAGATTTTTTCTTTAAAATCCCAAATTTCTACCAATTTCATGCTTAAATCCATGTATAAATCTAGTATTTAACACACAATACGCGGGAATCACTTACCTTGACATAGATAATAAAAATCTCTCCTTGAAGCTCTCCAAAATCGCCTCAACCAAGTGAAAAATAAGAGAAGAAGAGCCAAATCCCGCTCTTAAAACGATTTTGCCCAGCGATTTCTTGCACCTGCGGTGCCTTGACCGCATCTGCGGTCCCGCACCTGCGACAAAATCCTCGCAGGTGCGCATTTCCCTTACCTGGTCAAGCTCTGCATCTGCGGACAAAAGGGACCTCTTCTGCGAGCTCATCCGCTCCTGCGACTACTGCTCTCACACCTACGGTCACGCAGGTGCGCCAAAACTTCCGCACCTACGGTAGCTGGGCTGCCCTCACTCTTTTGCTTCTGCGGCTCGTAGCTCGCACCTGCGAGCTTGCACTTGCGGCTGACCCAGCGCAGGTGCGATTATGACAGCAACTGGGAGCTTCAACTGTTGCTCGAACATAAGAGTGAAATACTGGGAGCTTCAGCAACTGGGAGCTTCAGCCGAGACGAACGGCCTGATCCCATAAGAGTGAAATACAAATTCCTGCCGAGGCGAATGGACCGATCCCATAAGAGTAAGAAGCTTTGACGGGTCCTTGACCCCACTCACAAATAAACGCGTGAGTTGAAATTTCTTTGACAAAAACCTTTCAATGAAACATATATACCACAGAAACATGTCGTAAGAGGAGTAACATTATTCGGTGACTAATCATGAACTCCTGTAGTCTCTATAATAGCAAGTCTAGTATCAAGTAGTAATGTAAAATAGAGGAATTTAATAGGCGAGAGACTGCTCAAATAGTACATCTACAGCATGATGTGAACCTAAGTCTACCCGGACAATAACATGAGTGTAGCTACGTACGGTCTCTCGTCACCTCACGCGTACGTAGCCCCCCCACAACAAGTAGCACACATCAATATACAACACCTAGGTGTAATTTCCCCCTTACAGAGTTAGACATGAGACTTACCCCGCTCCAAAATTCCATAACCGGCTCCAAAGCCTCTCTAACATCTCAAACCAATGCCCGTCGCTCCAAACTAATCAATTAAGATGCAACCCAATCAAAATGTACTCTAATACTCATAATTAATCAATTTATAATAATTTTTAACTCCGCTCGAAAAATTGATAAAGCAACCCTCGGGCCCACATGCCCGAATTTCAAAAAATATCGAAGACAAACACTACCCATAGCACTACGAACTCAAATATATAATTTATTCTCAATTTCATGCCCAAATTCGTGATCAAAATCCAAGAATACCCATTTCTAGGTTTTTTCTTCAAAATCCCAAATTTCTACAAATTTCATGCTTGGATCCAAGTATAAATCTTGTATTTAACTCACAATACGCGGGAATCACTTACCTTGACATAGATGATGAAAATCCCTCCTTGAAGCTCTCCAAAATCGCCCCAACCAAGTGAAAAATGAGAGAAGAAGAGCCAAATCCCGCTCTTAAAATGATTCTGCCTAGCGATTTTTTGCACGTGCGGTACCGCACCTGCGACAAAATCCTCGCAGGTGCGCATTTCCCTTACCTGGCCATGCTCCGTATCTGCGGACAAAAGGGACAACTTCTGTGAGCCCATCCGCTTCTGTGACTACTACTCTTGCACCTGCGGTCATGCAGGTGCGCCAAAACTTCCGCACCTACGGTAGCTGGGTTGCCCTCACTCTTTTGCTTCTGCGGCTCGTAGCTCGCACCTGCGGCTGACCCAGCGCAGGTGCGATTATGACAGCAACTGGGAGCTTCAGCTGTTGCTCCCAATTTCCAACTTGATCCGATCCTCGTTCGATTGCCACTCCCCCCCCCCCCTCCCCCGAACATACTAACTAGTTTGGAATCATAAAAAGGACTCGCTCGAACCCTCAGAATGCCCAAAACAACAGTAAAACTAAGAATCGCACCCCAATTCAAGCTTAATGAACTTTAGAACTTCAAACTTCTACATTTGATGCCAAAACCTTTCAAATCACGTCCGATTGACCTCAAATTTTGCACGCAGGTCACATTCGACATTACGGACTTACTCCAACTTTCGGAATCGGAATCCGACCCCGATATCACAAAGTCCACTCCCGGTCAAACTTCTCAGAAGCCTTCGAATTTTTAACTTTCGCCAAAAGACCCCGAAATGACCTACGGACCTCCAAATTCACTTTCGGGCGCGCTCCCAATACCTTAATCACCGTACAGAGCTATTCCCAGACTCGGAATCCCAAATGAACATCGATAACATTGCAATACACCTCAACCCAATTTTTATGAAATTCTTCCAAAATACCAACTTTCACAATAGGCGTCGAAACGCTCCCGGGTCATCCAAAACCCGATCCGACCATTCGCCCAAGTACAAAATCATCATATGAATCTGTTGGAACCTTCCAATCCCGATTCCAAGGTCTTTTACTCAAAAATCAAATCTTAGTCAGATTCTTCCAACTTAAAGTTTCCGAAATGAGAGTTTTCTTTCCGAATCAACTCCGAATTTTTCAAAATTCAATTCCGACCATGCTCACAAATCATAATACCTGATGTGAGACTACTCATGGCCTCAGACTGTCGAACGATGCGCTATGGCTCAAAACGACCGGTTGGGTCGTTACAACATTGTATTATGGACATGTACATGATGCATATGCCTAAAGAATATAACAATTTACACTAAACAAGTATGCAAAAATTTATAATCTCCGAGTCATTTTCAAGAAAGGAAATAACAACAAGTACTAGGTACGGTCACAACAAAAATCTTAGAATCACAGACCTAGGCTCTGATACCAAAACTTGTAGCAACCCCTAGGAGGATACCACTTATAAATACTAATGTAATACTTATAAATTTAAATATTCTTTTAATAAAATAAACTAGCAAAAAGAAGAAAAAAAATATGCCCATGAATAAACTTCAATATACAACATCTCAACTTAGAAAAATCTCTTTAAAATTTCAAGATACAACTATAAAAAAGGGATAAGAAAATAGCAACATCTATTTAAGTTAAATCAATACTTTAAAATTTACCAAATACTTAGTAGAAGAATATTTTTTTT